AAGTTGCCCAGGCTGGTCTCGAACCCCTGGGCTCAGGTAATCCTCTCACCTCGGCCTCCCCAAGTGCTGGGATTACAGGCTGAGCCGCCGTGCCCAACCCCAGCTAATTTTTCAAATTTTCTGTAGTGAAAGGGTCTCCTTGTGTTGCCCAGGCTGGTCTTGAATTCCTGGCCTTAAGCAATCATCCCACCTTGGCCTCCCAAAACGCTGAGATTACAGGCCACCTCACCTGGCCTTAAACATTTCTCTAAAGCCAGGCACGATGGCTCACGCCTATAATCCCAGCACTTTGAGGGGCAGAGGCGAGAGGATTGCCTGAGCCCACAGGTTCGAGACCAGCCTGGGCAACTTGGTGAGACCTCGTCTCTACGATAAATAAAAAAATCAGCTGGGTATGGTAGCTCATGCCTGTAGTTCCAGCTACTTGGAAGGCTGAGCCTGAAGGATCGCCTGAGCCCAGCAGATCGAGGCTGCAGTGGCCGTGCGCATGCCACTGCAATCCAACCTGGGTGAAATAGTGAGACGTCAACTCAAATAAAGGAAAACAAAACATTTCTCTTCAACATCTCATCTAGGCCAGACTCAGTGGCTGAGGCCTGTAATCCCACCACTCTGAGAGGTTGAGGTGAGAAGATAAGCCTGAGCCTAGGGGTTTGAGACCAGCCTGGGCAATGTAGTAAGACTCTGTCTATGTAAAAAAGGTCAAAAAGTTAGCTGGGCATGGTAGCACACACCTGTAGTCCCAGCTACTCAGGAGGCTGAGGTGGGAGGTTTGCTTGAACCTGGGAGTTTGAGGCTACAGTGAGGCCGTGATCGTACCCCTGCACCCAGTCTGGGTGACAGAGTGAAAACCCCAACTCAAAGAAACAAACAGCTGGGCATGGTGGTTCATGCCTATAATCCAGCACTTTGGGAGGCCAAGGTGAGAGGCTTGCCCGAGCCCAGGAGTTCAAGACCATCCTGGGCCACATGGCGAGACCTCGTCTTGACAGTCAAAAAATTAAGCGTGTGTGGTAGCACACACCTGTAGTCCCAGCTAGTTGTAAGGCTGTGGCAGAAGTATCATCTGAGCCCAGCAGGCTGAGGTTGTGTGGCCGTGATCGTGACACTATACTCCAGCCTGGGTGACAGAGAGGGCCTCCAACTCAAAACGAGCAAACGCATCTCATCCTCAAAATAACCTTATCAGATGGGCCCTTACCTCCACTCTACAGACAAGAAAAATTGGGTTGGAGGAAATTAAATGCCATGTGCAGGGTTAAGGGTGGTGAAGCCAGGTTCAAACTTTGCTGACTCCAAACTGCAGGCGCCTCCGAGGAGGGAGCACTGGCCCAGGAGCGCTGGAATCCACCCTCGACCAGGTGGGGCTCCCCAGGACCTGCAGGACGAAGACCACACCCCTCAGCATGCCCTGCAAGGCCATCCCAGCTCAGCCTGACCAGCCTGTCCGGCCTCACGGCCGCCGCTGGTGTCCTCTTGTTACCTCCTCTTTCTGCCCTGTCCTTTGTCCCCTGCCTTTGGCTCGTGTCCCCATTGTGGTGTGACATTTTTAGGCGATCGGTTTCCAGCACGTGGTATCTTCCTCCCCGGACACTCAGCTCAAGTGCAAGGAGTGACCTCCTCAGTGACCGCAATACTGTGCAAACAGTAAGTGCTCATGGGAAGGTTTTCTGTGTTGACTTAATGGTGGGATGCTGGGTTTTGTTCTGTTTT